TGATTAGTGATGAGACGTGACACCATGTAAATGCACCCACCCAGTCCACAGAGGGCGAAAATTCACACTGATGTCTCAGATGATCACAATAAAGACCAACAGACAGAGAGAAAGAGTCTGGAGGCACAGGGACGATTCAGAGACGGTCAGAAGTTTCTGGATTTTCACATCCATTTGTCCCAGTGTGGTTTTGATCCAGTGTATTTGGGGTTTTGTGGACCCCAGACCAGGGCCTCAGTTACAGAAGTTACCAAGAAAGTCGATGCTAAAAGTAATCCTTGTGAAGGGTATTCTACACACACTAAAAACTTTACACTTTAACATTAATGACAACAGTTTCCTGCAGTAGTTACCACAGTGGTGTTCAATATTTCTGAGGCCAAATAGCCCAAAATTGATATAAAGTAGCAGCAGAGACCCCCACCTAAAAATACTGTAACATTTATAAATGTATATATATTTTATAACAAAAAAGTCTAGTTCAGGGGTGTCTTATATATACACATTATGTTTTGATGAAATAGCTGTAGCTGTATGGCACAATATGATTCACTTTTTACATGTGAAATAGCTGTAGCTGTACAGCACAATATGATTCACTTTTTACATTTTTTAATTGTATTTTTTTTTATTTTAACATTTTTATTTTATTATTATTATTTTCTTTATAGTACAGTGGTACCACTGAGGTGCACTGAGCAAGGCACCATGGGTAAAATACAGAGGTCACATTCACTTGTGTGCAGTGTCACAATGACAATAAATCACTATCACTTTTAACCTGTAATCTACCACACCTCCACAGCATGGAGTACTGTATACAGCACCACTAATCCACCCGACCCCAGACTAACTGGGTTCCACCCGAACTAATTAACCTCTAATTACTGTAAACCAAGTGTCAGATACTTCATTAGGTCTAAATTCAACCCCCCAAAAATCATGCATTTATCTATAAAACTAACTAATCAGTCTCCTCTTTGTCTCCCCCCTCTGCTCCCCCCTCTGCACAGCCTCCCTGTGCCACTGGTGCTGTCACCCTGCCTCAGGGCTCTGAAGATATTTCAAACATATCAGGGAAATCAATCTTACAGCAAACTGAAGGAAAACTTCGAATGTCATTGAGCAATAAGTATGACGCCTGTCAAAGGTGGCGCTGGAGGCACAGCTGGAGGCCAGTTACCAACAGTGTCCCAGTGTGAAGCCCGTGTTCTATACACACACACACACACACACACACACACACGTTCATCACCTCCGTTTGGTGCTTTGACATTAAACTTTTTTTAATGTACAAAAATGTAAAATGGATTTTATTTTTTTCATTAACAAATGGATTTTGTTAATGTTAATTCTGACATGTTTGCTGACTTTGAATTATTTTTCCGTTAATTTACAGACAACAAAACATATGTAGCCATGAACTGGAATTAGCTTATTTGTGCTAGAGTAAAGTAGCAGGTAACTGGAAGTCTACTGCAGTAATTATTTTAGTTATTTTTGGCCCAGTAACTGCAATAACTATTTAAACTATATTTTTTTAGTGATTTATTTGGTCAGTCATTATTCATTGCATACATTTACTACACTGTTTCCTGTTGTTTACCTCGGCTACCACTTAGCTACTTAGCTATTTTTCGTAAATCTTTGGCAAATAGTGAATTATTTCTAGATTTAAATATTCTGATCTTAATTAAATCAGCCATTTTTTGATGTTTTGTTAGTCTTTTATCTTATGTTAAAGCAAAAATAATGGCTTTTTTACAACCTAAAAAGAAGAGAGGCGGAGTCCATACAGTTCAAGTGAAAGGAAGCAGAAGTTGATGAAACAAGATGCCATAGTTGATGGGTCATTACACCTTAGTAAGCATGGGACATGGCTGGACTTAGACTGACCCCTACATCCACGCACCCCTCCTCTAATATCACTCTGAGTGTCATTAGGGCCCCGGAAAATGAGCTCTTGTCTTAGCCTGAGCGTGACGCCTCGTCGCGCTACAACAAGCCGCCTCAGCTCCTCGTCTTTATCGGCCTCTCATAGCCACATGTTTACATCTCCAGGTCAATTGAATTAAGTCTACTGATGAGAACACTGATGGGGCATAAATGGGCACAAATCAGGTGAATCCAGCCCGGACTGCTCACACACATGCAGCACATGCGTGTGTGTTGTCCGTGTCACACTCCTGCCCGCGCCCTGTTGCTCGTTATCACCACTCCGAGTCCGTGTGAAGGCGAGGATGTAACGCGATGCCAAGGGGATCGGAAAGCGACACTAATCTTCAAATCCCCGGCGTGAGAGTTTAATAGTGAAGCTCAGCCATTACTGCATTTAAAGCCCACTCATTATTTGGTGTAGATACCACACTGACCACGTCCTAGAAGACGGGCCAATTAGGGTGAAGACGAGATGTTAACGTTTGTGTCTGCTGATGTGCGTGGAGTTTAGTTCAGGGGTATAATGAAGTGTTTATGTCTCAGTTGATGAACACAGGAGCCTGAGTACGAGCCGTGATGTAAAGAGAAGTTGATGATCACAAAGACGTTCAGGGGGAAAGACGCTGAGAGTTAAAGGTTACATCAGTAAACAAACAAATACAAATACTGTGAAATGAGAAGAAATATTCACAGTTCACTGTCCTGCAGCAGCGCTGCTAATACAACAGTTTAAAAATGATTTTCCCAACTTTTCCAACAGTTTACAGTGTTTCCTTTACTGTCATGCTAACTCTTTATCTGCTGCACTTAAGCTACTTTTCAGCTAATGAAGGGCTAACGTTTTGTTTTGTCGGCCAACAGCTAACTTTGCTTTGTCATGCTAACTCTTTATCTGCTACTTTTCAGCTAATGAAGGGCTAATGTTTTGTTTTGTCGGCCAACAGCTAACTTTGCCAAGAAATGTTATGTTATTTAGCTAAGGCCTATGCTAACATCTGGCTAATTTTAACACAAATTTGGCTGTTTTTTGGCTAAATTTTCAACTTTCTCAGCTAAACTTTAATCATTTAGCAATGACTAACATTTAGCAATGTTGTATTTTTTTTGCTAATGAGCTGACTTTGATTGTTAGCTATAGAATTAAAATTGAGTTTGTGAATTGAGTTCACAAATTTACTGTTTTTAAAATCTATTTGTTGGCTAAATGTTTTGATGATCCAATAAGTCTAATTAGCCTATATCTTTCTAATAAAATGGTATGAGATGTTTTGTTATATTTCATTATATTATGATGTTTTCTGACATGACAGTGGGAGTGGCCCTCAGGGACCTGACTTCTTCATCACATGTGCATTTAGTCTGGTGAGTTGAACTCAAACCTGGCCTGGGAATCAACATGAATTTACTCCGCTGGGACACACATAAGCAACGATAATGACCAAATTAAGCATATGCATGCAGCCGCTGGGGTGTGAGCTAATGTTGTGTTGGAACCGTGGACTCAGTCAGCCAGATTCTGGGTCCAGTCTGGTCCACTGATTCCAGGGGTTACAGTGAACAATAACGTAGCCAGGATCCTGTACTGTGAAATTACACTCGGGTGTTAGAGTGGAAAAAACACAAGAGCATGAGCTTGAAGCACAGAATCACACTCGCTCATTCATCAAACTCAACGGTGTCAAAAACTGTCATGAAAATTGTCCATAATCCTGAACGTCCTGGTTTCATGTCGTCAACATTATTTGACTGTGAGGTTTTTAGACCATGAATGAATTGACCAAGATTAACCTCCAAGCAGAGTTATATGTTTTAAAAAATAAAATAAATAATAATAATACATTTAACTTTTTACTGTTATTTTTGGTACTCCAGGTAGCAATATAATAGGTGCCAGATCAGACGAGTAGCACACCTTTATAATCACTAAACCAGTTTTAGCCAAGTCATTAAAAAAAAGAAAGAAAAAAAAAAGGAAATTAATAGTTGCAGAGAAAAGAAGTGTTTTAAAAAAGAATATTAGGGCTGGGCAACTTAACGTGTTATTATTACATTAACTCAATGAGATTTGCACTAAATCTTTTATTTAACTTTTTTAATGGCAAGAGCTCTTGTGATTAATCACAATAAGTGAATCAGTTAAAAAAGCTAATAGCTATCGGATAACCAAAATAGCTCTAATTTGGATTAACAATAAACAGTTGAGCCTTAGAAATAGGAAAAAGTGACTAAAGGTTAACATCACAGTTACAACCACAGCAGCCAATGTCCTCGTGCTTTCCCTGTAAGTAACTGAGCCGAGACAAATGTTGCTAAGCATGGCCTCAAACTCCACAGAGGGAACTGAACTGGTCTGTTGAACATGACGGAAAGAAAGAGAGAGAATGTGAGTGAGTGAGAGAGAGAGAGAGAGAGAGAGCATCAAAAATGACATAGAACAGAACCATATTTGTACAGGTTTTCCAGGCCGGCCATTTGAATCCTAAATCACCAGGTTTATCATCAATACAGATGCAGAGTATTTAAGTTTCACAAATGTTTTAAAGCACATAAAAAATGACCCTGGTTTTACTGGTTTTGCTCTTATGTTTAAAAAGTAAATAAATAAATAGACCACATGGAGGACGCGGACTAAACATATCAACAATCCTTCACATAATAATGTAATAAACAAAGAGCAGTGAGGAACATATACCTCTGTAGATTTCTCCCAGTTACCTGCACTTCTGGTGATGTTCTCATCATCTGACGGTTGGAAACTCCAGTGATTGTTATGATGGCCACAAACACACTCAGAGATCAGCTGGAGGGTCAACGGTGGGATCCTGGAGAGTCCTGGTCTACAGGATCTGTCAACACACCAGGCCTAGTTATACTCTGCCTGTTTGAGGTACACTGATTACTGATATAACACACACACACACACACACACACACACACACTGTAGCTTTACTGCAGGCTCTGTATAAACTCACCATGCAGAAGCAGGTCGCTGCATTAAACACAAGCATATGCTAGCAAGGAGCCTTGCTATGATCTTGCACACAGAAACACTTCAGCAGACTGGGCTTCAGCACGCTACACTGCTCCGAGTTTGACTGTAGTACACCGAGCAGAGCGGGCTAAAGCTAACTTAAACTCTGTGTGTGAGAGACAGTGTTACAGCAAAGGGCCTCGCTAGCAGACGCTAGGTTAGGCTAAAGCCCATCAGGGCCTCCTGCAGTCACTGGTGTGAGAGCCCATTTTCACAGTTCACAGCCGACCTGCTAATGGCTCATCATTCATTCATTCACGCTCACTGTTGATTGTGCAGGCAGGGGGTTGGCCGCTCGTACAGTTCGCTAATGTACCGTACGGAGTGAGGATAATCGGCGAGAGCAATAAGCACGCTGATGTTCTGTTGGCCATGAAAACTGTGGTCTGGTAAATAGTCCAGATCATCAGACGAGACGTGCTTTGGGATCAGACGGGACGCTGAGGTGTCAACGAGACAAGTTTTCAGGATTTTCACTTTTTGTGGAACATTAGTTAAATGTAAAGATTTTGTCCCAACAGAACATTTTTACATACAGATTTTGTAATTATTTTACAAACATCAGAAAATGAAATAAAAAAAATAAAAAAAAATGTCAGAAAATGAAAGAAAAAAATAAAAGTATTCATTTAGTTTTCAGAAAATAAAATTAGATGGGGTTAAAAAACAATCTGTTTCCAATCATAGATAAGTCAAACAGGTTTCCATTTGTGTGTGATTAAAAACTAGGTGCGTTCAAATATGTTTTAAAAATGGAAGTTTAAAAAACCCCATAGACCAATTTCCAGTGTTGAACTTGGAAACCTTAGAACAGGATATTTTGTATTATTAGCCTAATGCAGTAATACACAGAGGAGTTAAATCCTTTCTGTGGTTTCCTCTGTCACTCACTCAAAGTGAAGTCCAGTGTGAATATGATGGACCGTGTTGGTGAACCCTAAACAGATGTGAAACCTGTTGCATTTGAACCAAACTCCTACAGGTGTTCACACTGCATTAGTGGAGAGATCCTGTCAAAATCAGTCACACTGTTGTTCACTCTCCATGCATCCAGGTCTGACGGTTCTACAAACTTCATGCAGTAGCTGTGATTACAACGGGAGTATTACAAACAGAGAGTGTGTGCGTGTGTGTGTGTGTTGGCAGTGAAGGCCGTGGTTGAACATCTCCTGCAGGCTAAACAGACAGTGATCAAGTTAGTGTCCAGGAAGCATAATTAATGTTCTTAATTGGCCCTGCCTCTGTGGTGGTTGGTCCTCCAGTAGTCTACAGTACACTGAGGCAGCCACGGCTCCAGGCTCTCTGCTCTGGTAATGACATCAACCTTGTGTTGATCTTATAGTACCACACTTGGTCTTTTCAGCCTGAAATACTTCTTCATTACTGCATGTTGTTGTGTACGGTAAAGTTACTGACAGCGTTCAGGTGAAGTACCACCTGTAGTAGTACCTTAACTGTCCAGACGTGTATGTTGCTACAAGCTAATTATTAATAATCATCCCTCCAGATTAAACGTTAAGTCATCATGAAAAACAGACTGTGTTTGAAGTAGCAGAAGATTTTTAATTACTATTATTATTTAGTGATGACTTTGAGATAT